CGGGTCAAAAAAAAAAAAAAAAAAAAGAAATCAAATACTTGGAAACTTGAATTTTGTTACTTGGTCTTTTGAGAAATCAGTCTCCTTTAATTATAAAATATTTAAGAAACTATATAAAGATCAATTCTATATAACCAAAAAGCTTATCAAAAAAAATTTTTTTTTTTTTTAGGTAGTCTGTAGAGGATGCAAAATGAGAGAATTCCCCACTCAAGTCTAACCCAGGAGCAAGACCGTTTACAAAGTAGGCACGTCAGTAATGATGAAGAAACCGCAGTCAGGCAGGGAAATGGTGCTGCGGAGGTGGAGAAATGCCTCCCCTCTCGCTCCTCCTCTGATGGGCCGTCCACCTCTGCCGAGGGAGGTGCGTCGGTGGTTTCCAGGAGAGGGCCAGCCCTGCTGCACATCGACAGACACCAGATCCAGGCGGTGGAGCCCAGTGCGCAGGCCCTTGAGCTGCAGGGTTTGGGTGTGGATGTCTACGACCAGGCGGTGCTGGAGCAAGGTGTGCTGTTGCAGGTGGACAGCGCCATCCATGAGGCCAACCGTGTGGCCCAGCTCGCTGACGCGGAGAAAGAGTATCGGTCAATCCTGGATGACCTTGCGTGAGTGTGGCCTGTCTTCTCTCTCACAGGGTTTTTGTTTAAACATGATGGGGAAGTTCAGGTACTAGAGAGCTCCAGAAACTTAGGAGATTTATGGAATCTCTTTTTGGGGGACAGAGTCAGGAAGGGCAGTCATCAACCTCTTCTTTGAGCCTCAGCCCTTCACCTGAGCAGCAGCATTGTACGCAGTAGTTAGGGTCTCAATCCAGTCACAACATCCTGTTTCACTTGTAATGTCCTGAAGAGAAGGACTGTTCCGAATGCCTGGAACTCACCAACATGTGCACAAAGTGGCCTCAGGAGAAACACACCTGAAGCTCAGGTGTTTCCTGCTCGAGATACCAGGAACACATCCCGCCCTCACATGTTTCTTTGTCCTGTAGTTTCTTTCCAGCTCGCTGTCCCCAAATCAAGTTTTCAGTCCTTTGGCAATTTTTTAGATTAACATGTCTAGAAATAGTGAGAAAGAACTCCCTGCTTTTCCTTTCTTCTGTCTTACTTTTGACTCTGTAAGGAGAGATGAAGTCCCGTGGAGACTTCATTGTGACCAGAGGAGAGACAGACTTGGGCTCTATCGAGCATGGCACATTGGTGGGGAAGGGAGGAGGCTCTGGATCTGGGCTGGAGTTGGGGCTGAGGACGGGAGAGGGGAGGGTTGGGGTGGAGGGTTGAACTCACTTATTATTGCTGGTCTGCCTCAGTGTTTTGGGCCATGTCAGGCAAGTGAGAAAGAGAAGGTGAGGACTGGACTGGGTGGAGGAATGGAGCAGTCTCAGGGGAGTGGCTGGGGGAGGAGTGTGCAGCGCGAGACTACCCTGTTGGGGAGGCTGCAGGGTAGGTGGCTGTTGGCACTAAAGCATGTGTTTTCTGCTAACAGTTCCCTGGTGTCTTCTTTTGGCCTCTTAAGTACCAGTTACTCTTGCATAGCTTTAGTCTGACCTTGAGTGTTGAGGCTCTCATCTCTTTGATCTTGGAGATATGTCCACTTCCTGCAGAGGGGATAGATAGAGGAGAGTGCTGCAGAGTCTCCAGGCAGGGTGACACTAGATGGCCAGTAGCTTGCATCATTTATCTTGAAATCCACAAAGGATACCAGTAGTAAATTACTGAAGTGTTAAGAAGATTGAATTTGTGTTTTGAAAATTGAAAGCTACAATTCTATGGTGTCTGTTTTAGGAGTAACTTATTTAAATTGATTCTTTGCAGGGCAAGGTTTAATGCTACAGTAAATGAATCTTCTAGTTGTGTGAAAAGAATATTTTCACGGATGTATGTTTATATAAAAAATGTTTATATAAAAAAATGTTTAAGCATTTTTAGGACTTTCCCAAACTTTAGGAGGCTTCCATGTTGGGCTTTAAAAACCTGCATATAAATTTCTTCTTCTAAAAGGACAACTTATTGTAGATTGTCCCAGCACAGTGTCTTGAGTAAAGTAGACACTGAAAACATGCTTGTAGAATGAATGCATCAGCTTACAAATGAGAATGAGTGGATTTAAATCAGCCAGATAAGAGAAAAACATTGACAGTCATCTTAAACCTCTGCAAGTCTTCCAGAGACTCTTGAAGTTCTGTTTGTGGCAAACGGGAATATGCATTCCGGTTTAATTTCTTTTATCTTTTAGTTAATAAGAAGTAAAAGGGATGTGTTTTTAGCATTTCTTTCTTTATATTCTGCTATGAAAATGTTACCACAGTGGAAAGTAGACAATTTATCTTCTTTTTCAGGTCATGTACGACATCCTTAAGGCAAATTAATAAAATTATTGAGCAACTTAGCCCTCAAGCTGCCACCAACAGAGACATCAACAGGAAACTAGATTCTGTAAAGCGGCAGAAGTATAATAAGGTGATTTGAAATAACACGTTAAGAATTGCATTTTTGAAAAAGTCATTATTTATGCCCTTTTAATAATTTAGGAAGTTTTCTGAAAAGTACTTATAAGATGTGAACCAAATGTTTATAACTACAATAGAGAAATTTTGAGTGGCTTTTGTATGTCTGACCTTTCAGCTCTTTCCCTTTAACATGCTCTGTTATACAGTGTTTTTAAACACAC